TGCACTCGCCGACGACACCAAGATGCCTGATGACCTTGATAGCAGCGCTGCGAAGCATGTGGTATTCGTCGTCCGGGAGAGTTTGAGACGGTGCAACCACAATCGAGTCACCAGTATGTGTACCAAGAGGATCAAAGTTCTCCATATTGCAGCAGATGATCGTGTTCTAACAAGAGCATACGCATTCAACTTCAAAAAGCACAACAAAACGGAAATCAACCTACATCAGCACCATCACGAACAACTTCGTATTCGAGTTCCTTCCAGCCCTTCATACTCCGCTCAATCAAAACCTGAGGGGACAGACTCAAACTCTTTGCAGAGAGATCACGAAGCTCGTCGGGATTGTTGGCAAAACCAGAACCGAGACCACCAAGAGTGAATGCTGACCGAAGGATGACGGGATAACCGATTTGCTCTGCTGCATCCAAAGCTGCACTGACGGTAGATACAGCTGTGGACTGTGCAACTGGAATGTCGATTTCTGAAATGAAAAAAAAGGTTGTGATATGGTCAACCAACAGAAATCGGTTACAGGTACCTTTGAGAGCTTGCACGAAAAGTTCACGGTCCTCAGAAACTTCAAGAGTACGGATCGGAGTTCCGAGGACCTTGATGTCCAGGCGCTCGAGGACGCCCATTTTGTCCAGCTCAATACCGACATTGAGGGCACTTTGACCTCCGAAAGTCAAAAGGATACCATCTGGACGCTCTTTCTCCAATACATATGCAACGTAGTCCGCGGTGATAGGAAGGAAGTAGACTTCGGATGCTAATTCATGAGACGTCTGCCAGGTTGCGATGTTAGGGTTGATGAGAACGGCATCAACACCTTCTTCGCGCAAAGCTTTCAGTGCCTGCGAACCCGAGTAGTCAAACTCGCCAGCTTGACCAATGCTGAGGCCACCACTGCCGACGATGACGACCTTTTTGACATCTGGACGGGGAAGCTTGGGAAGAACTTTGGCAGAGATTCTGCGAGCAATCTCTGATGGCGAGTTAAGGACATGTTCGCCATCCTTGGGGATATATGAGCCGACTGCTGGCGCAGCTACTGCTCGCAAGGTATGTGTGGGAAAGAAAAGTGCCCGATGTGGAGTGGAGTGAAAAGAGCGAGCTCCAATATTTTTACATCTAGAAAATTGACGGAGAAGAGATGACCTTATAGAAAGGGCCATCCTTTTCTATACAGCCTTAGCTAGGCAGGTCTTCAAGCTTTCAAGCTGCAAGGAGGGAAAAAACGAGGTCACTAAGATAGCTAAGATGATGGAACACAAATTTCAATACGAGTCGGTAATCAGATATTGAGGACGTACTCGTCGCGTGTGTTCTGAGTGAAAATCATACACGCTCTCGCGGCTCAACAGGGAATTCGAATCCACACTTGGCGGCGATGGATGACAGCTGAACAACAGCTAGAGACGGTTTTTTCCTTCTTTTTAACCTGCGTACAACGTGACCTCACATGACTCACGAGAAGCTTCTTAAAGCGGAAAGTTCATTGCGTGCATCAACGTTGGTGTGCATCAACTACATAGTATGGTCAGTGCTGCCGGCTAAGCTAGATCTTCAACGAGCTTGAAGTTTAGAATGCGAGTGACATGAGACCACTGTCAAGGATCTCCAGTAATACAACCCTGGCTGCAGTTCGACGTGGTAGGTCGCTCACCGTCATCGTGGTAAATCTTGCAGGTCGACATCACACTGGATTTCAAAGAGTACAGCGCGTGTATTATGCAGTGATGTTCTAACCAGCTAGCAAGTGAGAAATACCGCTGCAAAAAGTTTGTGTGTCTAAGAGGGAGTAGACAAATATGATGGTCCGCGCGAGAATCAAGAGGGGCTTGGGGCCACAAAGTCCTCGAGCTCAATAACTTCAGAAGAACGAGCAGCCTAAATGAAGAACATGCTGCCAGGTCAGCAAGCTTTGAGTTTTTGAAAAAAAGAATATGTTCCGTGGAGCCCTGCTGTCGGACGTGCATTATTTTACGTGGTCGTCCGCTCGATGGGGCGCAAGGTATCCAACATTGGGTCCGTGTTGATTAGCACCGTCAGAGTAAGAGCATTGAAAGTTGATGTTCCGGTTATTCCAATACTTAGCACTGTTTGCTGTTCTGGCAGCAAGCATACCTCGCAGGAAGATGGATCCATAGCGTACAGGAGTTCATTCACGCCTATTACAATGGTGGTTGTGACTTGTATGAATGGTAAGCTGGGCAAAAAGCCGCCATCTGCATTCATTCAGCACAAAAGGAACCAATGTCTTCCTTCTGTTTGTTTTCCTGCGGAAGACTAGGTCGTTTGAGGAGATCGTGGAAATCCCTGGGTACTCCCTGAGCTCGTCTCAAATAGTACAAGGACTTCTGAATCAATGGAGAGCCAATGAAGGCAAATCAGCAATTCATGAATTGCGACCGCACCTCGAAGAGTCTCGCCTCTCCTTGGGGCCCACCTTGCTAGCTTCTGGCGCATAACGGCGTCCAAATCTAGGAGAGACATAAGCGACGCTAGCCTCGCTTTCCGTGGTGACAGCCGCAATTGGTTCCAGCCTTCCTCCCGCAATACTTCCGGAGCAACCTTCTCAATAGAAGGAACTAAATTCGTAGATGAATGGGAAAAATTATTATAGTTGGATCGCAGAACTGTCACATATTGGTCCGCAAAGCTCTGTAGCCTGAGGCCTGCGTGACTCGCGACTCCAACCAAGCGGTAAGCCCCAGGTTTACATACATTACCGCCGATGGATTTGCATCGTGCACTTCCTGAATGGTTTAATCACATCAAAGAGTCGCACGATGATTTGTTTCTCTCACCCACAAGTAACACAACGATGTAATTTGAACACCTCAAGGCCCCAGTCAGCTGGATCCGTTACTTGAGCACTCGTTACTGGTTTAAGTACAATTGAATGTTTAACAGAGTTCACTAGGGTAGTAAAATGAGAGATGTGTTTTGATACAATGCAAGGCATAGAAACTTCGGGTTAAGTTGAATATTTCTTCGCTCTCTTCTTCTTTTCCGGTTCTTCATCTCGCGACCTCTTGCGACTTGAGGGCTTTACACTTTCATCTGTAGACCACAATGTCCCCTCAGAATCGGATTTAGTTCTGCAAAGCGATCAGTACGCAGGATGGAGACCCTCGCCAACAAAACTTACGAGTACTTTGAGTAGTCCGACTCCGAAAGATCGTTGTCTCTATTGGATTGATTTACTTGCTCCCACATCGCCACACGCGCCTTCTTCCTCTCGCCTTTCAGCCATCTGATCCTATACCTGCGCGGCTCCCTCTCCAGCTGCGCTGTTCCATCCCAAAGTTCCTTCTTGACTTTCATTTTCTCGAAATAAGAGAACTCCAATCGCTCGCGCATTAAACACATTTCGCGTAGATCGGGTAACACCCCAGTCATAATGGTAGCAGCGCGGTCAAGGAGCTGCTCTGCCTCTAGAACCCGGGCCTCGAGGACTGGCATGCTGTCGACGAGGCCGGTGAATGTGCACAAGGCATCGCGGTTCTCCCATTGGCTGATTGGGAAGTGAGGGTTGTCGTTTGAGGTGCAGGGACTTTGTGCAGGTTTCGTCATGCTAGATTCTGGGCGTTCGAGGTGTGGGATATGAGATTGCTTTGAAAAGCACTGGAGTCTTGATGGATTTTAAAAGGCCACAGTTAGAGTCCACAAGACACAAATCCGAACAGTCGGTGTGCTTACCTATTGTTCTCCAGAGCCGGCATGCTTGGACCTTCATTGAGTGGCTCAGGTTATATGAATAAGAGGAACTGTATCACATTCAAGAAAGACCCTAGGAAGGTGGACATCGTCTTGCAAGTCGCAGCTAACTGCAGCCTGGCATGATTCGTGCAGAATTTGAGATGATGATCTACCCTGGCGATCACTTGGCGATCTCGTAGTCAGGCACAGCGGAACTCAAGACGAACGCGGCGTCACTGAATGTTGTTCTCGATATGGTTTTTTACTTGCGCGCCTTGGACTGGTACCCTCAAGCGAACCGAATTCGAGACCGTAAGCAAGAAGGCTTTACTAGATGAAAGCATTCATGTTCTCCAAATTCTTTGCAGCTGCATGTTTTGCCACGCCTCGTGTCCGCTAGACTTGTAAACCAATTATCCGACTTAGTGTAAGGCAAGATGGCCGAGCGGTCTATGGCGTGTGACTCAAGCGCAAGCTTGCCTGCAAAGCAGGTTTCTCATCCTCGTAAGAGGGCGTGGGTTCAAATCCCACTCTTGTCATTATTTTTCTCTTTTTCTCCCCAAGTACTCAAGTAGCCCTGCAGCAGGGGAATGCTGCTAGTAGAGTTCGCCTAGTCCTCCCAGGCTTCGTGATCATGTAGTTTCTCTCGTCAAAGGTCCTGGCGCCGCTCACTGTTGATTGCAGCTGGGACGTCGGGGATTTGACCATGCTTTCTTGTTGCCACAAGTGAAACTGTTCCCGGATCCTTGCTTTGACCGCGGACTTTTGTACTGAGATGATCTAATCTATTGTTCTCTAGGTACAAGCATATGTTGTGCATTTAAGTTGTAGATGTCAATCCACAGAAGCCCACATCACGCACAAATTTAAAGTACCACAGTTTGACTACAGTCCTTCATTATATTATTTAATTCCAATCTCCCTACACATATCTCGAACTTGATCTAGTAGCACATCTTTTCATCGGAGTACCCGTGCTTTCACCACACTACACAAAATGACTGAAGCACTCCTCCTTCATGACGTTCACTCATCCAACAACCCAATCCCAGCTTTAGGTTCTGGGGGACTTGATATGAGCGAAGCCACTCTTGCCAAATTGTCCCGTGCACAGCTGCAAAAGGTAGCTAAGGTGTGTATTGCATTTGTGGTCCTGAAGGCCAGCCACTGAACTAAAAATAGGCTCATAAAGTCAGAGCGAACATGAAGAGCGCAGCGATAATTAGAGAGTTGGTAAAACTCAGCAAGTTTATTCCGCTGCTGTACGTGCCCCACTTCATCTTCAATGTTGTGAATGATGCTGACGATCGTTCAGTCAAGACGAAGAGAGCGAAGGGCCCCCGAGAAAGAAGTCCCGAACGACAGAGGGTCCTCCTGCTGCTGGTCCCTCAAGACAGGTCATAGACTCAGCTATGGACACAAGTTGTGAGCATCATACATCGCGTCGCAGTGCAAGAAATCTAACACCTGTCCAGTTGATTACCCCATCATCCAGGAAGATCCCCCCAAATCCATTCTGATCCTAGCAGCCGTTACTCCGGTAAAAGCAGTCGGAAATGCCTCTGGCATAGCGCTTCAAAATCTAGCAGGAAAGTCGCCAAGCCTTTCACCGTTGCTACTGGAAAGTCCCAAGGGGCACCTAGCTGTGGATGATAACTCCAGTGACTCAGGTGGTTCCTACTTGTCTTACGAAAGTCCTAGTCAGCAGGGATGTGACAAATTCCCCGTCAGCCCACGTACAGGAATGCCTCCTCCAGAGGAACCACGCATGCTCAGCCGCGCTGTGAAAATCATGAGGCAGATCACGGCCGACGATCAACGTGTTCTTGCCCAGGCCACTGCTCTCCGGCGGAGAGCGGCGGGGCTGAAAGAACAGGCGAAGAATGTCCGGGACGTTATACGCGCTGAGCGGGGGCGCCGTGAGAGATTGGAGGCATACTTCACGTACTGGAGGGAGATCGCGCCCAGATGGCCAAAAGATTGGATATACGAAAAAGGCGAGGAGGATCAGATCCGAACAGAGCGAGTATTTAAGGCTATGACACCAACGTATGTGCTCCCCTGTCATTGACTTGCCCGTATTTCTGACCACTTGATTAATAGGCTACTGTCAACAGGACCAACAGGACCACCCACCTTGTCTTTCGACGGAAGAGACGCACCGTGAGTTTTCGTTCGCAGTTCGTTCTTCCACTCGGCCGACAGTGACTATCAGGGACTCGCATAGGCAGCCACAACAGGAAGCTAATTGACAGGGGAATGGGACAACTCCCCTTCTTGCAGAAGACACGCAAGAAGGTAAGCATTCCAATCACCTGCCTTCGCCACCGCAGTTGGCCACCAAAGGAAGAGTGGCAAAACGAAAACATCACGCTTAAAATGTTCACGAGTCGTACCTTGAGAGATAATATTTTACCATCAGTCATAATACACCCCGTTCTGACTCGGATCACTCACATTTACTATACTTCGCCATCAGGAATAATTCCTGCTCATCCATTTGTCCCTGACAGGGTGTTCCCCAGTGTGATTCGTGCTATATAACCTATTTAGCATCGGTTAGAACGAAGATGAATATCGCCGCACCGATCGATTGAGCCTTAAGATCACGGGTAATGGGTAAGAGATGGTGCTCATCTGTCATACATAGTTCATCGTGGTTCACATTGTACTTTTGCATGATATCGTCTGGTGGCAAATACATAGTGTGACTGTCAAAGCGCTAGGAAGACAAGCGAGTTGTGGAAGACTGGTGAACTGAAACTCCATGAGCTATTTCAAGCTGATTCTCATTTAGTGTATGTATAAATTTCTGGAGGCACATACTAGAGACATAAAGGGAGGACTCGTGACAAAGGTAGTTTCCCATAGTCAGGCCTCTGTAGAAGAAAGAAAGTCGTTGACAAAGGTAGTTAACGAGAGAGTAGTGGCGTACCAACTAAAGAAAGTTATCATGGACAATCATCCAACTTGTCACGGCAACTGCTCATCTTATCCTACGGAGCACTATGAAAATTTTCCGGATGAGTACCACAAGCGATCGTCCTTGATGGATGTGCAGGCGAAGGGGCGCACACCAGCTATGGAAAGCTACAGTTTTGGGCAAGCAATTCTGTCTTGCGGCTCTTTCTATCTTTCAATTGAGCTTGAGTGGGAGGTCACAAGTGATTAAGGACTATGTGGAAGCAACTGTAGAGGAGAGAAAGGCGGAAGAGGGCAAAGTCTGACCTACAAATGAAGCTTAAGGGGAGCCGTGGCAGCCTGGCAATCTCTTATATATTGTAACGTTACATAAACGATATCCCAGAATACTCAATTTACCATCATATATTACAGGACGCGATCACCATTCCTCTCGACATTTAGTTTCAGTGTCAACATTTTCGCTCGCAACAAAATATTCGGGGACCTCATCGAGGACCCAGATGGGCGGCATAATCAGCGCCTTCGAAGTTCGAGAACGGCAATACCTAGCGAGTAGTAGACACAAATATAAAAAACAACGCAAATACTACATGAGTGCCACGATAAAATAATAAAAGCAGTCGCTGGCTGTGTCCGAGTTAGGGATTTAACGAGAAGCAGCTGATGGAGAACGTTTCTCTCTGAATAAAGGACAGTCAGGCGAAATTTCCCCTGGTCATACAGCAATTGGGACTGCATTCGTCTCTTCCTTCTTCCCTCCCGCAGCCTTGGCCTCATCAATTGCTCTCTTCGCAGCCTCCTTCTGTTTCTCGATATCCTTTAGCTTCTCCTTCACATCCTGCGGCTTGTTAAATGTGACGCTTCTGTGATGACTTTGAGCACCCATGCTCCCAGTCTCTGGCGCCTGTACGTTTACAAGGGGCGCAGTCGTCGACAGGCCGCGGTGAAACGTAGACGGGAGAACCCGCCCGTCTGGGTGTTGGAAGGGGCAAGATGCGCGCGTGCAACCTGCACCGAAGCGACATTGTTGCGCGAAGTGATTTGTCTTTGGAGGATGCGTGTACGGGCAACTTGGGCGTGTGCAAGCACCACCGAAACGACATGCGACGGTGTGCTGAGGAGGCCCAGTGGTAGTAGTGGTAGGTGGGACTGGTGTGTGAGTTGCGCCTGCGACTGTTGGGTAAGCTCATGTTGTTTTTACAAAGACAAAAAACCAACGTACCAGGGTTTTTGACAGCAGGGCTGACATGCGACTTAATACAGTCCTTGTCTTTGCAATCCTTGCCCTTTTCGCACGCCTCGGTGCTTAGGACAACACCACTCTCAGCAGTAGCGACGGGAGATGGGTGGGAATATCGGCATTGCGAGTTAGTGCACTTGATCCCGAATTTGCACAATGTAGGTGATTGCGGGCGTTCGGGGAGGGCATATGCTGGTTTTAAAGGTGCATTGGATGACACGGCGCTTGCGGGAAGCGGAATGGGCGCCACTATTGGTGTGGACTGTGCGGGTTCAGCGATTACCGAAGCGGGGACCGATACAGGTGTAGGCACTTCCTCGATAGATGGCGGAGCAGGTGACGAGCCCATGTGTCCGCCCCGTGAACCTCCTCGCCCCCGACCCCCTCTCGCTGCACCCCGACCTCTGCCATTCACCCCATTCTGTGGGAAGCTATGTCCATTCACACCTGCGCCACCATTGAACATCGCTGCATCTCCACCCTGCTGCATTGGGTTGAACCCAGGCATACCCATACCGGGGTTAAGCATGCCCATCGAGTTCGCCATCTGCGCCATGAGAGCCATTTGACTTAACATCATTTCTTGTAGCATTAACGGATTTGCTTGCATCCCCATGCCTACAGCCATGTCAGGCATACCCATACCATTCGGGAAGTTCATCATCGCGCTTGGGTCGGGCGAGGCATTCGTGATGTTGTCAATACGCACTTGGACTTCATCTCTTCCACCTTGGAAGCGCGCACCAGGTCCTGGACCGCCGACGCGGTCAAGAAGACTACGTTGTGCGGGTGCTGGGTTCTGCATGGCCCGGGGACCAGTGGGTGGTAGGTCTGTGCGTCGGGACTTTGCTGGATGTGCAGATGGTGAGGGTGAGCGGAGACGCTTTTGAGATGTCGAAGGAAGAGCGGAAGATATAGCTTGTTGATATAGTGGTGCACCTGCTCGAGGACCATTAGGCAGGCGGCGCGCTGGGTCGCTGGAGGGTGGTTGGGTGACGGGTTTCGACTCATTAGGTATTTCTACAGGTGTTGAAGATGCAGCGGACGGAGCTTCAGATTCCGGCGCGCCTTTGGCAGCTTCAGCGAAGAGCCAATCTGTGAAGCTGGAATCTGGCGATACTGTCAACGAGCCACAACGCACAGGGCACTAAGGAACATACCAATTTCTGGACTAATTACTGGAGACGTAGTCAGTAATGAGATTTGGGACGCAAAAAAACGCCACTCACCATCCATGAGTTCCGAAGTTATTTGTGCTGTACAATGCGATAAGCCAGTGTCAGCAAAGAAGCTCTTGATACCACAAACCTGCAGTTTTATTGTTTATAATCATAATGGTGATAAATTCCGCCATGACAGGATCTGTTCCAATAGTGAGTGCCAAAGACCTAGCAGTAAACAAGACTGAGCGCTCACCAGCATCGGGACTGAAATTACGAGCTATGAGTTCATCCTGAATGGATTTCTACACAAAAAAAGTGAGTTGGGCACAGAAGAAGAGTAGTACATGAGCAAGACATACTTGTAGAGCAGTTGCGCGGTCAGTTCCGATGATAAGACCGAAAGCCATGATGGAATGAGTGTGTCAACGACGAGAGCGGCGACTCCAAACAAACTCCCGCTACAAGTCTCAAACATGACTAAGCAAATGCCTTGATTGGGCCAACTGCCCGATCTCAAAACATGAACAAACTTCGAAATATAACATTACTCCGAACCACTCGTAGGTAATCCTACGTGGCTCACGCGCACGAGTCACTTGCTTGAGCAGGTGCGCTTTCTTGCCGGCCTTAGTGCTTCTAGGCGAACACGGACCCGATGTGTTCCGAATGTTGGGTATTCATAATGCGACGCTTAGATATATCATATGACTTCCATCCCTGAGGCTAAGGCGCAGTCCGTATTTATCTTCGTCTTTTCTGCTACTACGACGATATGAATACCAAAATGAACCCTCATACACATAGGTCATGTCTCTGTGGAAGGTCCACTTGTCCATTGATAGATTCCTTTGCTAGGACTTCCAAGCACTTTCCTCAGGGACCGTTAGTTTTGAGCATCTTACAAACATGAACCTGGGTAATACCTATGAAAGTACGCGTGAACGGATTCATGGTCAAGGTTCGAGGTGACGACGGCCCATCAAGTCGGGCGAGGTACTATATAGGTGTGCCATTAATTTGTGAGTCGGAGTGGAGGGCCCGACCGTCTAGCTTGAGTATTCGCATTACAGTGAGATATTGTCACCCACTTCATTCGGGGCTGAGGTGCATGGATCGAGTTCGTCGTTACCTTTTCTGCTGACTTTGTAAGGGCATTTCCTGGCAGCGTCTGGATCGTAGAGTTAGCCTTGCACGCTGCTTTTCGTACAGTCTGGACGAAATTCGACGTACAAGGCAAATCTTACGTCACGTAACAGCACTCGTGGAACAAAGGTATGGGAGGTCTAAGCGCGAGGATGTTTAGGTACCGCAGATGCGACCCCAAAATCAAAGACCGGACAGTGCAGCCAGGGAGTAAAGCACTCGAGTGCCAAGAACACATTATCTCCCTGGATTTAAGGAAACTGTTCACACGTGAACGTCGAGCACGTTCCCTCTATTGAAATGGCGTGCGGTGCTGATAGCAGTTGGAACACGCAGTTTAGGGTCACTGGACCAACGTGGCCAAGTATGTTTAGACAGCTGCCAATGCGATTCCCGTCTACATCGGGTTTAGCAATAAACATGACAATATATAGGGAAACTTGAAGTAGGACAAACGGAAGGAGCTTACCATCGGAGTACCGGCATCGTTGACACCGGTTGCATCATGCGAGGGAAAAAGAATAAACCCAGCACTCCAACAAAGAACATGTTTGTCAGCGTGCAATGTACGTAACCTGACTCGGTGCTGTCCATTTGGAAATCGCCCAGATGATACTGCTACACCGCCTTCTTCTGCGGCTACGCCATCTTCTAAGAGGAGGGCATCCAACAAGGCGGGCTTCCCCAGCTGTCGTCATGTCATACTTCTCTGCCTATCGTTATAGGAAGAGAAAATGACATCACCAAGTAGGGCCCCGGTAGTTCATAGTACTCGCTCCCGCACACCGTGTCTGCAATTTTCTCCATAAGAGTTTTGGCATGAGTACAACTCACCGAGGCTGTGTCCGTCGACTTTGGCGGCGGCCGCAGATCGTAGGAAGATTGACGGCCACAAGTCGTAGGGGAAAATGTGATGTAGTGGGTGGGTGGTGTAGAAGGTTAGAATGAAAATGACGGCCATGGTAGTCGCAGTGCCTGTCCCTGATGTAAACGGCGGTCAGAGACTAACCGTGTGCATGTTGAAAGTTGGAGTGTCTCTCGCGCCGTCGGCGTAGTGGGAGTACTCGATACTGCGGGTGACAAAACAAGCGAGGATTCAAGCCTAGGCACAACAAAGCAGCGATTTATCCCATCCATGCAAAATAACATGCGTCCCCCACGTAAAATCAACGCTGTGTTTTCGGGGACATTCGCCGTTCAGGGTAAACCTGAGAAATCAATTATGTATCATCACAAACATGAAGAGGCAGTGTAGGAAATACCTTCACGGAGATCCTGTCTTTGCAACACGCCCAGAGTCCGTGAATCCCCATCAAACTCCTAAATGATCCATGGCTGCAAATAACCAAGATTAAGGGCCGGCGGGCGCATCAGAAAGACCATGCTTGCCGTAGAGATGAACACATAGCATTGAATACCGTCCTCACTACGATGATACATTAAGCGAATATGAGAATATCAGCAAAGCTGTACCCGCAGCATGTTCATGAGGGTACACTTACTTTTCCGCCATGAAACAAGCACTTGCTTGAGCATGGATGATATCGGGCATGTATCCAGTCCATTACGTTGCCTTCAGTTCATAGTTTCGTCACCGCCATCGTTATCAAGGGCATGTTTGATGTCATCTTGCCTCATTCTCGCGTGTTCATTAAGAACTTGAACAAGTTCGACGTAAGTAGGGATTCCAAATGGACACGAATCGACCACGATTCGGATTGGTAGTACTCACGTTTTGAGACATTCTTTCGAACCAACGTGCCAAACCGCTAAAAAAAACTGATACGCCCAAATGAAGGGTATATCTATCATCCGCAGTCCGAGATCAGTACTTGTATGAAAGTGCGACAGTGCGCTGTCACACATTGCTGTAACGACTCCGAACCATTCCCGAAATCTCGCCGCAAACAGTCACGACAAACTCTTGCCTATAACAGCAAAATCTTCCACCGATGCTATTTGAATTCGGTCCGCAGTGACTCCGCACCGTAGTAGCCTGAGATGGAAGGCTCTGCCAACCCATAAGACGGCAAATGCTGCTCCTGAGTATGCTACGCCGAGAATGGAGAGCATATGATTTGGTATAGCATTGTATCTTGCGCCTCTCTCTAAACGAATCATCTTTGCGGCATTGCGGAAGAGAGATCATCATCTGTGATGCCTTATGAAATATCTAAACTCACGGGGCTCGGGGAGGCTCGGCACGTGTCTCAGTCTTTTTCTGTGATTCTGTGTTGAACAGTCTAAGCGTACACGAACCATTGTCATAGAATCGGCAGACTTTCCGATTTTCCGAGATGAATCTGAAATTTGGGAGAAGGAGGCTGGGATACGGGGAGAAACGGCCAATAATTGGATAAGCGCGACTGAAGCGCTTTGTCATGAAAAACACGGCGACCGACGTACTTCGCGTAAACACACCACTAGCACTCAAGACGCCCACGTGTCTGCACATACCATCTCCAGCCTCGAAAGTTGATTTCGCCAAAACTCTGCACGATCAGACACGATCAGTCTAGCCTGGAGGTTTTAGGTAGCTCTGTGAAGAAGTCCTGGTCACGGTCTTTCTACTAATCTGATCAAGGTCTATGCCACCTTCGTGGCGCATCCCTGGTTGCTATTGGAGGATGTCGATCCGCGGATAACGTGCAGGAATCCGATTAGGATTTGAATGCAAGATACAGCCAGCTCGTTCAATCCATGCGGGCGGGCCGAACTTGGCACGAGCGTTATCACGGCGCGCTCCTCGGCTCGAAGCCTCGCGATCAGCTGAAAGTCGAGATACGTAGCAAATCTAGTTCTTCAAGGGTAAATTGCTTTATCAACATCCCTCTTTCGGTTAGCCAGACTCGCATGACGGATCAGATGCTTGTTTTTCATTCGGCCGATCAAACGAAGGTCTAAAATTTGAGGGCATCTGGAGTTCTTCGGAGCCGCCGACTGAAACCCTCGTACCCTACAACGTGGTCAACGTTGTAACGTTAAACAACGTTTCGTTTCACGATACCTCGTGATTTCCAGCTGTTTGGAAGGGCAATTCAGTAAGTACTTGATGCAGCATTCTGATTCTGGTATAGTTAAAATACATCAAACGTTCAGGCTATGATAAGGAATCCCTGAGCTCATATCCGTGCGGCTAGCAGGCAAACTGTGACTTGTGTGGAACGCTATCCGAGACTCGGATGCGTGGATAATAAGGGTTTGTTAACTTCGATGCATCTTGTGGATAGCACTGGGCTCGGCGTTACGTTTGGAGGTATCTTCTATTTCGCTACTCTACCGCCCTGAAATCTTCGCAGACCGAGAGCCTGAGGCGATTAGGTTGAATTAACCAACGAGTTTGTAACAGCCGAGCCAGTTCGTAGAAGATCGTCGAGAATCACCTGGAGCTAACTCATTGTACCTCGGGCAAGAAAAGATGTGGAAGCTGATGTGATCATGGATAAATTTGAAACCTCTGCCACCACGGAGTGCACCCTTCCGCGCGCTCCCAGCGGTTTTCGACCCTTAGGGATGAAAACATATGTAACTCGTTAAGGCAAAATAAAGAAATTCTAGTTCACAAGATGCAGACATTGACGTCGTATGAGGCACTGTTTGTGGTTCGATCGATACTACTTAACGTCAGCACCGGCTTTCTAGAAAATGAGCATAACACAAACCTTTCACAAATAAACATGGGAGACTTTTACGAGCATCAACGGTTCGATCTTGATCGATGATGTGCTTTCTACCAATGACTCGTTGAGATACCGTGACGACGGCCAACATCAACAGAGGCTTGCACTCTATTTGCCGAACCTGTATTTCGATCAGAGAACTTGGCTTTTCAGAAAATGGCCACCAATAGTAATCCTGTTCTCGATGAGCTATCATAACAGTAAATGAAATGCGGGTGCCTGCTGTCATCCAATTAGTACTACGTTCCCGAGGGAATCGCAAGCTGATTTAAGATGCGTACTCGTGTGGCGTAGCGGGATGACACCAGGGCCAAGTTGGGCGGCATTCCGAAACAAATTGAAAAGGTGCTTTCAAGGAATCTTTAATGAATGGTTTGCAAGTGCGACATCCACGGCAATGCAAGTTGTGTTTCAGGCTAGCGGAACGTTCGATTTGTGTCGATGGGCGCTGATGTGGCAGCTACTGGTAGTGGGGTCGTGGCCGTTGTGTATGAATGACTCGGAAAACAAGGCTACGAGGATTCCTGTAGGATGAAATCTTTTCGAGTCATTTATGACACAAGGCTTGAACATAGAATATCGATTCTTGGTTTGCCGGCAACATCTGAAGAAGCGTAAAAGCCGTCAACAACGGAATGAATATGATATAGTACTCACTGCCAGTGTCAGCCACGGAGATAGGCAGAGCTGCACGTTGTGAAGATCGTGAGCTCTATGCTTTTGTGAGATGAAGCAGGAGGTACGGTGTTCAAAAATAGAGAAGTTTCGTTTTGAAATGGAGTAGTACGTTGTCCGTTCTGGTTAGGCTTTGTATTTGGTTCCGGCCGCTGGTATTCACGTTCTGTAGTACTAGTGCTTCGTATACTGATCGTCTTCCAATCCAACGTTGATGAACATAACGACATCAGGTTCCCCATCACTCCCGCTCAATCCCCTCCATTATCCACTAAACCCTTCAGTTATAATGCATGACGGCCCCGGACGATAGACGACAAAAAGTCGTACCAGCAATGTCCTACTAACTGATACAAGCAACTCACAGGAGATGGGCCAAACTTTATCGTGCAACGCTATTTTAGACACACAGCCTTAAAGAAGTTGGAAAAGTCCAGCTGGGGGCACGCGAACAACACGTGAACCCGCCAAACTGAACCGGGCGCATCAAATATTGCCAATCAAGTTACAAGTGCGCGCCTTTACAGACAATTAGATAAGGGAAGGACCTGTCCCTGGGGATTGGCAACGACCGTCACCCACCAACTCGCCCAGAAACGGCATGACTTGAATGATGCATAAAATTTTACTACATGCGCCGCAATTAATCGGAGGCGCAAGGGACGACATAGTATGATTGTAGGTATGTGCTAATCCTTCAAAATACTTACTTGGAGATATTCCTGTGCTCCGTGGCACATCAGATCTATCAAATTGAAACTCGCACAGGACACTCACGTTGAGTCAAGGGATTTAAGAATATATTGTGTCTGGGAACGAGTCAGGATTAGCATTGCTGTTTGGCGCAGAAGAGTTCAGTTTTGAGCGCTACCATCAGACTCGGTTTCCGGTAGTTCGCCACAGTTCGCGAGCGATCGTATTGATGGTTTCTCAGGGTGAGGTCGGTTCGCAGAACGTGGTGGTGACACTTGTATGTTTGAACTTACATACATTGGGACCTCGCAACATATGATCCAAGACAATTGGGCCTACAAAACGTACTCCGGCGATCGTACGAGTTCGTATACTACGATCAATACTTGTCAGGGAGCGACTCGAACACTGCAGCTTACTACAGGGTCAAGTAGGAGTCTCAGATGATAACGCACTTCAAGCCTGAATGGTAGATATCGATCATGATTATCATAGACTTCCAGAACAATATCGTGGGTGTCCTGATTCAATAGCGAGGCACAGACGGCCAATATTGAGCGTGCCCGACCTGCCAATCCCGCACCGCCGATAGTGATATCTTACGTCAAAAAAAATGAGTGGAAAACGAAGAAAATAACGCGAGTAAAAGTAGCGTGCTTACTTGCGTTCTTGTGAGAGCACTGATCACATAGCAGGACGGATATGATACATTGTTAGTACACACCATCTCGTACTGGTTCTGGAACACGCCTCGTTGTGTTATCAGGTCCAATTTCCGGGTCGGAGAGTCGGGGCTGGTGCCGGAGCAAGCACATTTAATCGGCAGCTGCCTTTTGTGGGGCGACTGGGGAAAATATACTCAGAATGAAATTAATGCACGTGGAGTGCTCAGGCCCGGAATTTCCGCTCGAGCGAGGTTGCAATAATCTCCACTTGCAAGTTTGGATCGCGTGAAAAAAGATCTAGAGGAGCAAGTATGAACGACGACTGCGGAAGAAGAAAATACACCACCTGAATCAAACATGCACCATCCTGCTCGATGCTGAGCTTCGGGTTAAACGGCCTCCTAGACTCCAGTTATGCTTATCACATATCAAGAATCGCAGTGACGAGCTCCCATCAAGCAGAGCGGAGATACAGAAGCCTATCCTGATGGATTCTGTGGATCACCGCGCTTGTGCACACAAGGCGAGCATAAGTAGGTATCACAGCTAGTAGGGTACTCATAAGAACACGCTGAGAATGGTATTTCCAGATTACGTTTTCTCAGCGCTCTGCCTCGATAAGCCATTCACGTGGGTCAGATGGTATCTGATAGGTTTGCATACCTCCTTTGGCAGTACGGGCGCCCGAGAACGCCATCGTTTCGTTCAACTCCCTAAAGCGTTGCAGTTCTTTTTATCTTACTCCCGGACCGCCCATGTCCACCTATCATATGACTCCGAGTCTGTGTGAATATTGCATTCTACGTCATGATCGGGAAATGGTCATCCATTTATGCTCGATAGGCGGAATTCTCGTGTACGCAGAGTCACATTGTCTTCCATTCGTGATTCAAACTGAAGGGCTCAACTAAGGCAACAAACAGAGCAATAGTGACACGTATCATGGCCGACACTGCAATCAAGGTGGCATATCCAGTTCCAGGATGGTCGTTCCGTGATATCGGGATCTAACGGCTGTCTCTACTATACGGATGGTGATGAGCCTGTGGCCTGGCAATGGCGTAACAGGGATCACATGACGCCGAGCCGCCGACGGGTTGGAGGCTCTTAGTTATGAAACGGGCGAGAGTTGCACTGCCATGACTTTTTATCGCCGCAAGGACCGAAGGCCCAAGGGGGATGTCAAAGCATGGCATGATAATACTCACACGAAACGCTATGTATATTGCCATGGGGTCTAGGCAAGATGAAGGCTAAAGTGCCGTCAAGTGAACCGACGCGCGCCGTCACGGTCTGTGTCCCGATCTGAGTTTTAAAAACTCAACATCCGTGGGGTGTGTTCGAAGATAAGTGGAGGCTTCGTTGACGTGAAATCTATAGTAGCGATTGAGTCGTTTACCATGTGAGTCGCAAAGGCATCTATCGGGTTACGTACTCGCAACATGTGTATAGGTTCGGAAGGGAGGTATCGGACAGGCTGCTAGACGAGTTAGTATTGGTACAAGAGACAGTGTGATTCTAGACACTGCTTCCCGCGGATCAACAGCCCATTACGGGGAAAAGCTGTCGTGTCTCGAGAACAACTTCTCTCATCCGGATCATGGTACATGAGGGTCGCCAGAGTTGCAGTAATGCTTGATAAGCGTGTCGGGAGGAGACTGAAGTTAACCGGAACGACAGCGAAAATTTATTGAGGCTGATCGGATATATCTAAAGCCGTGCGGTATGGTACCTAAGCAATGTCAATTTGACAGTGAGCGTCGAGCCGTGTATGTCGCAGAGGGGGAGTCTAGGAGGAACTGGAACATTGTACTGTGCTGTGATCCCGGAACAAAGGAGGGCAGGAAGCATAGCCACATGTGGCCTAGAAGGGTTTAAGCAAACCAGTTCGGAAAGGCGGCAGGGCGAACCGATGAGTACCAAGGGCCGATGTAAGTGGGCCATTGAGGTGTCATCAGATCATTCGTTCAAAAGCGCCCACAATGACACAGTTCTGCATATATATACGGAGTGATTGAAATCGTGAAAATTTCCACACTTCTATCTCTCTCTTACTCGAGCTGTAGCCCTCATCCTTGCGCAGTTTTCATAAAGCGGCAACCTCTGATCAATCGAGCTTCTATTACACCTCGAGGCTAATTAGCGAGACATAAAGATTCGGCCCTTTAGCACGCAGTGAGTGCAGACCCACTCCATTCCATTGTTCCTGGTTGAATGTATTAGGTAATATTTTCAATAATAATTTAATAATTTACTTTTTGCCTCGTTGCGCGGAGTCTATTGGACTGGAAGGGTGCAGTGACCTTGCCGTTGCTAAACCTATCTTCGTATCCCAGGCTCATGGTTTTGGTTCCATTCATTTTCCTTCTTTGCTTTCACACTGCCCTAATTCTTATATACCCCGTCATTCTTTCCTGTCCCGTTCTAACTAAACTCCCAAACTCTGACACACTTGCACTTTCAGATCACCTTCGCGACACCACGCCGCCCGTTCCACTCACCATCATCCATCAGTAATGGCTGCTGTACACGGTCCCATAATACCTACCCACCCTTCCCCATTTCGGAATACCCAGAGTGTCCCTCATTCGCGAATGGGCTATCATCCTGCACCGTCGGTCAGTTTTTAGTAGCCGCTCGTCATATTCATATCCTTAATCATACATACATAGGCACCACCGAAACCTCAGTCTACTCAGCCCACGACGAGACATTCTGACCCATTCTATGGTCATGAGCAGATTTCCCGGTTATGCGGTCGCTTCATTACGCATCTGTTTGCTTGTCCAGAGTACCCCCCTTCGTCTTCTAACTCACAAGTAAAGCTCCCCCATTTCATTGCGTACGCACTTCACCGGACAAAGCTTCACTCTTCTGTAACCTTCGCTGCCCTCGTCCTCCTTCAGCGACTCAAAGCGCGCTTCCCCACTGCTCGGGGATCTTCGGGTCACCGTCTTTTCGTATCCGCTTTCATGCTCGCATCCAAGGTTATCTGTGACGACACTTACTCCAACAAATCCTGGAGTATTGTAGCCCAGGGTATGTTCCAATTGCGAGAAATCAATCAGATGGAGCGCGAGATGTGTCAGTATCTGGAGTGGGAACTCAATGTGGATCCGGTAACGCTCAGGGAGTTCGAAGACATGGTCAAGAAGGATTTCGCAGGTCAAGGACCTTACCCGACTTATATCCTTCCCTCCTCGTCCAAGACAACCCCTCCACCTACCACCAATCCCTTCCCGCCTCCTCCAGCCGCTTTGGCCCCCACGCCTTCGCCTTCATATGGCCATCGGTATCCATCGCCTCCAAAGCCCGCTTTCCCCCCGCCAAATTCCTCGTACATTACTCCTCCCACAACGCCGGATACGCCATCACCAAGTTATTCAACATCGACGTCTCCAGCGTCAACGGCATCACCCCCAACACCGCCGGGTATGGAGGATTGTACTGCACGCATTGTCTCAGCTTCATCGTCACCAGGTATACCAAAACACGAGCCTGTGCCAGTACCACCGCCATCGAAGCACAAGATGTTCGCGTTCGCTTCGCCGGCTGTGTGGTGAAGGCGGCTCATTGAGTGCATTGTGGTTTTTGTTGCATTTCTCTTACTGCCACTTATACACTCATTTTTGCCCGTCTTGATGACGCTGCTAATATATACACCTTCATCGCTGTCGGTCACCATCGATCGGTCGCGATATGTTATTTACCAGGACTATCTATACCCTGCCGCATCATTACTTGGCCCAAGGTTGCTCCGGGACCGTGCTTCAACTACTGCATTATCATCATATGTTGTGTCAATAGCGCATTACAGTATTTCATTAGGCATATGTACAAGTATATTGAAGAATCAAAAATGCCAATCACTGCAATATCGGAATGAATGCGAGACTGATTAATTGATGAGAAATGAGAGTATTTGATTGCCTGCCTCGAGGTACCAAGCGACAAGCGACGTATCGGATAGATAGTTCTCTTACACACACCGAGTCGTACGACGTGCCAGCTGACTTCTCGCGATGATGATTGATTTCGTTATACTGCCAGCATGCAGGCATACGTTTACTAAAACTCCGCCGGAACCGATACCAGTTCAGGACGTTAGAGCTAGACAAGCAGCAGTGATCTGCATGGGTTTGTTGTACGTGCTGTCCCTTGTTCAACGTGAGCACAAAGAGCCCTTTGAATTCAAAGCGCCACATCAGATCCCACCAAACCATGTTTGGTCTGTACAAACCGACTGCCTTATCTGAACCCGAGCGCTAGGAGTAGTGTGCAAAGTTCTATCAGATCTTTCCGATGGAAAAACGTTCATATCCCAGGGGGCTGTACACGTTTTTTTTGGGGGGATGGTATTGGTACCTCTTCTCTTTCTCCCGCCCTTTATGGTAAGCAACTCGCTCGCGACCTGGAGTTGGGGTGCTATCTCCGGCCTTGAGCCTCCTGCGTCGCTGCGGTCTCTCTCCATTATGCCAAGATATTGCAATCTTTTTAAAGTGGCGTGGACAGCGAGTCACTAGGAACCCAGACATTTATCAACTGCTCAGTGATCCTGACAGTGCTTATCTCACAATTGTCAGCAGGGTGCCGCGCGTGTGCCCATCATGCGAGATGGACGCTGACATGAGCCTTTGACACATGCAGCTTGGCTAATCGGCCCATAAGAATTCATTAAAGCTTCTTGTCTAGCCGAGATAAGTCGCAGAAGTGGCTGTTTACGGCTCATGAAGACCTCTGATGGACAACCTTTGATTTTAAGATTCCAGACCGTGCCTCCATAACAGCATCGTATGGCAGGCGTACCCATTCCTACTACCATCCAGTCCAAGTCGATGCGGCTGCGCTTTCACCAGGCGAGATCTTGTAGATCGCAAGGCTAATCTTGACACAAAAGAAAGAACAATCGAACGCGTTTTCATTGTATCTTGGTCCTAAAAAACCAGGGACCGATACATGCTGTAGCCTCATGTCATCGTGGTTTGCTGATTTGGTAACCCTTGGTGCGGCCTTCTCCACAGGGTGGCGTGCATGCCGACAATGTGAGTTCATTATTTAACAGAGTCACTCGTACAAATGGTAAAGTTAAGTTTCGAGCTTATAGATCATATTGATATTGCTGTCGAAGGGGCGCATTACACGAGTATCCCGTCCTACAGCTATGCTATGCGATCTTCTGTATCCTCTTACAGTTTCATGCCAAACAGACACGAGGTCTCGGTGCACAGAGTACGACACGGCGTTCATTGCTTTGCCTGGAAGGTCGCGATGCATAGACTCTTTTGGCTGTCGTCTACTAGTACTTCCCTAAACTGCCGCAGCCACCTTGACAATCAAGATAGTGGATGCGTTTTCCATTAGGAGCGTACTGTTGCGGTCTGCAATGTAAGCATCTCACCATTTCTCCGCGGCCTTCTTGTTATTGTTGCATTTTAAGCCGAATATGATGGCGCCAGATCGAAGCATCACCTATTTGAAGTCCTTCGTCGTGCCGTGGCTTGCATGCTAATCAGGATTCTGTGCGCACCGGAGATCTATGCACACCGGAGCTTAACGATAGCGCACTGGACCATAATGCACTGGATAACGCACTGGCCAAGTCCCGCTGGGGAGGGTGTTACTATCCAAAGAACTGCTGTGTTGGCATAATGTACTGGTCAAAAACGCTGTAATATCACTGACTGCGGATGGTGTATTAGCCATCGAATTGGTGATTATGCACTGCCGTGTGCCAGCCGCCGTCGCTGGGAGTGATGTGCCAAACCCATCAGCATTCACAGAATCATGTTTTCGAGCCGTTGACTGTCACTATTTTCGATCCTCGACTCTCGCTCTCTGGCAACTGATGCAATGCTGCGTTGATGGAGTGTGGGGAACTTGCTCCATGATGTTCTGTGAACGAGTATAGGCATGTACAGGTTTCGGCAGCAAACTGTCTTGGTGTGTCTTTTCTTTCACTTGCAGGGTCCAGTCGATATTCTTTGACATGCTCTTGCTCCACTTTCATACACGGGTCGCTGCTGGTGAGAACAGAGGCTTTTTGGCTGAGTTCTATGCCCTATCTTTCGCTCCACCTCGCAAGTCCAGTACTATCATTGGATATCACATATCTCCTATCTCGCGAATGCAGAAGTGTTCGAGAGTCGAGACAGGATTGATATCGGACCTCTAGCACTGGATAACCCTAGACTCGAAGTTCCTCTTTTGACAATCATCCGATCCGTCTGTCTACCCTTCCAGTCCTGCACCCTCTATTATCACACGTTTGCATCGCGTTGGGAAGCACCCACTCGCCGTCACTAGTACCATAAATTGTCTACATTGTGATTGGCAGGGGCGTATATGCGTCACGCAGGCTCGGCATCGCCCTCTTTCGATGTCATCTCTGACATACTGACACCAGCTGACTTGTAATGATATTGCACCTTCCCCACAATCCGTCACTCTGAGGCTGTTTCGACTTTTGGAGTTTGTAATCAAGGGTCGATCGTCATTAACGCCTACATATCGGTGCCACGTTCTGTTCAGAACTTTCGAGATGAGCAATAGACGCCCATGATCGCGCTAGTACTCGACTTGGAAGGCTTGGAGACCGCAAACAGTACGGAGAATGTATGTCATTATACCTGTCATATACTGGATTTGATCATCCTAGGGCGTTTCCCTAAATACCTCGATCGGCTGGAACTGGGAGTTAGTTGTCGCGGTGCCTCGTGATCATCGTTTCAGGTGTCTTCATATGTTCAAGCTTCTTTGCATCAATCTGCGAGCTCCGTGAGCAACATTTAGACTTTGGCTCATGACTACAGGACTACATATCCGTCGTAGGACTGTTATCTGATCACTGATCATCTGTCTCTGGTCATGTTTCTTCGAAACTCTTATAGAAGACGATCGCATCAACATATTCCTCGCCCTCCCCGTCCATCCGCTTCAGACGACCAGCCTTGGGTATAAGTCCGGCTTTCGTGAAGTTCAGTGCTTCCCACAACCTGCAATCGAAGTGATCAGCAAAAACACGGATCAACCAAGATCGTCAAAGCTCACTTAACACTGGCGACGTTATTATTATACACTAGGTTAAACACGCTTGCCTTGTATCCCAACGCTGGTGCATAGTAAAGATATGATTTAGCGAGGATACGCCCATAACCACTGCCACGTTGGGACGGGGGGACCATAAATCCTGCATTACAGATCTACGGTGGAAATGATATGTCAGCGGACGAGCCTAGTTCATATGCAAGCCGAAGCCGAGCCGGTGAATCCCTTGCCCAACTAGAACAAAAAAACTCACATGAGAAGATCGCCCAGGGTAGTTGGGTTTTACCTGTCATCATCGATTTCCACAGAGTTCGACAGTGTGTGAGATTGGGGGTGACACGATTGTTAGGCTAGGGATCGCGACTGACGTAGTAAAACCCTGCGACACACTCCTCCCATGTCCGCCCGTTTCTTGCAACATCTAAACTTTGCTCGATCTCCCGCACCCCGCGCTCTTCAAGTTCGCTCTTAATCGCGGGAGGATCACCTTTGCCAGCGATTCCGACGAGTACATCTCCGCCGAAGAAGTATGCTCCGAATGCTGCGGGATCGCTGATGTCTTCTTGTGGATACGTTAAGCCTTTGTTGACTTCATTCACAAAGGTGGAGTAGAGGTAGTTAAATAGACCAGTTTGGACGCGCTCCACCGCGGCCCGATCGATGTGGTGTATGGTCACGAAAGATGGGGTCCCGAGATCTGGCTCTACTCGGGGACTATCCCATAACGTAGTGGGCAAATACGATGTCCTTTGTGGTCTGTTGATAACCCCGTAAGCAGACATGGCATAGGTATACTGTAAAGTTTGTTCGGACGGAAGTAACCAGGAACTGGACTGGCCTTAAGCTTCATATCTATGACTCGGACAATCGATCAGCTTCTAGAAGAAGCGAGAAAAGGCGCTGTACCTTCGGATCTTGCTCGGGGGTCAGACACATGCGCCCAAAAACCAAGAGTCCCAGCTAACTATGCCTGAAGGAGATAATACACTCAGCCTCGTCGCCTGTGAGTAAGATAAAGTCAGAGCGCAGTTCATGCGCAGTCCTCTGGAAAGCTCATGTATTTTAGCGTTATTTCTAAAAATTACTGACATGTAAGAGCTCTCTATCATCACCAATCGTAACTGATAGTCCTTTCCCTATCCACGACGGTAGTCGCTCTGTTTCCACTCCTTCACCGCCTGAAAATCCTTTTGTCACTCCGTCACCAAAAAAGACATATCCGGGAATATAGCGGTCTACGAAGCTGCTCATAATGTTATCAACAGTACATGAGAGGAAAAGAAGCACTCACGTCTTGACTTGGTCATCGGTCATGCCTTTTCCGCCATTCTTAGCTTTCATATTGTGTTCCTGTTGTAATCTCCACTGATATATGATAGATAGCTGTGCAGACGAAGGCCCCTTTATCTTCAAAAGAGTGAGTCGCATGCCATGGGTGCGTCGAGAGCGAGGTGTCTACCTGTATGAAAGCATCAAGTGCACTCCACCACTCCACGTATCGCTTTAATTGCTCGTTGACGGCCAGTACGTGATCCACGGACACGAAGGCTTTCATGTCGAACATATCGGACTCAAGAGTCGGAACAGGTTCTTTCAACCTTTCTTCGACGAGCTCTTTACTTGTAGGGAAAAATCCCACACACCATCCCTCGAGCACAACTACGTCCACGGGCCCTTTCACCGTCTCGCGATCAGATATGCGGTCCCCCTGTCCATTAAATAGACTCTTATCGAAGATAGGGATGTCCACAGTCCCTGCATCAACTTCATTGATCTTTTTGAGGTTTCCAAGGACCGAAGTACCGAGAGGCACATCATGTGTTCCTGGCTGTCCTCTTCCCTGAAAGAGGATATTGCGGGGATTGCTTTCCGCAAGACTTCGGAGTCCAGAGTGCGGAAGATAGAGGTCGTCGATGGAAAGTACGGTTACAGCGAGGGAGTGTGGTGGACTGGCAAGGTAGGCACGGAGGCGGGAAGTTAGAAAAGTCTTTCCACTGCCTTGTGGACCTTGAACGCCAACAAATAAGGGGGTTGGTCGTAGACTAGGTGGACATCGTGATCGATGTTCTCGCAACTGGTTGAGAACGTGTTGAGCCATGTGCTGCACGGCAGGCAGATGAGTTTCTTCGTTCATGATGTGCAATGCTCGCAGGTTCATAGCACCGAGCAAACGTATCGGTAGCAGCCTCGCAGAATGCGGTGGACTGCAAGAGCGTTCAGGCCATGAGACCGGTCACATGAACATGCTAGGAATTAGTATGGATTAGTATCTCACCGTCTATTCTGAAGGACCAAACCTCTCGTGCTACATGCAGACGCTCGCAGTGACACATTCGTTTGTTACAACCGTGGGAATCAGTTCATGTGCATCGCTCATACTCTAAAACAGATTTCAGCCGAAAGTTATCAACTAGATAGCTCACCAGCCATATATTTCAAACTGCCAAGTAACAAGTGCCAGCAATAACAAGCAGATTATGAGCGCCATAAGTCCATACCGTATCCTAACACCGCCTCGGAAAACTTTGCGGACATCAAAAATCATGGGAATGGTACAGCAATAAACATAGTCGTGCATTATGATCCAAAATCTATAGGTGAAGAAAATGTTCCGTATGACGAGAAGCAATAAATAGTGTCTACTTGCTCCCACCGTAACGTGCCTTGCGCCCTATGTCGAACGGAATGTACTTGTACTTGATCATGTGCCTGGCAAAAACGTTTCAATTACGACCACAATTCTGGGATATAGGAACGCACTGAATTTGCCGACGCATTGTCAATGCGAAGAGAACGCAAAAGTAGACCACGAGGATCGGCCAGTAGACTGGTACATCAAAGACCTCTGACACGGTACAGAAGAGCGATACAACAGTGGCCCTTGTTGCACTTAGCCTGTGGAAATAGTAAATGGTCAGTACCAAGAAGGGGAGCAATACAACCAGCGGTCGCACCAAAATTGCCATTCGGGAAGTCTTCTCACAAAAGGTCTAAACTCGTCATCTCGCTGAGAGGGAAGCACAGGCACACTTTGATCGCCGCCCTCTTCAATCTCATCCGCAAGAAGATCATCCTCAAGTGAAGGGTCGAACTTGGGCTGCAGGAATGCAAGAAGTAAGTTCAAAAGATAAATAGCCAAGCCGTCTGTTATAAAGCTCCGTCAGATACACTTCAAGCCAAAAGGACGAGCAGACGCACAGCAGACTGCACATCCACACAGACATAACTAGTGAGCCAGAGATCATGTATACAAAGTAAATATACGAACCAATGTACCACTGTTGACACGTAGCTAGTCAGTTTCATCCTGAGCACAGAATAAGTTGGTATTTACCCCCTGGGACAGCACAATCCTAAGCATGAAGAGCGCAAGTAGACAGAAAGTCGCCAACCATCGCTGAAGAACGTGAGGAGTCCATCGGTCAAGTGTTTGTTGATATTGGCGCTGGAACTTCGAGAATGATGCTTGTGCGGAGTGGAAAGGGGTTGTACCAGGTTCATCCGAAGACATCATTTTAACAGAAATCGTGACGAGGATAAAGGACCGAAGACCGAGAATTGAATGACTGTCAATGAATTTTTGTTAGCTTGTCGGTGCAAGCAGTGACGATGTCGAATTTGCCGCAGAAGGCATATTTAAGCGGCGAATGAATTCCATATCAGGCTGAGGCTGTTTTATTGTTTTTGTTTGATGTGATGAAACGATTGAATGATAGATTGCACACTCATATGAGTACTAGTAGCATCATGGAAAGTTGGTAGTGAAACAGGATTATCATGATATGAGAACTTGTAACATTGATAGCTGTCCTTGGAACCCCTGTGTTACACCCGGCAGCCTAAAAGATAAACGGCACAACAGCTTTCCTCTCCTTGGGGTACTCAGGGAAATTCTTGTGATACCATTGATGGCCCCTGTATGCCCGAGAAATCATGAACCAAACTTCTGCCCAGAAGAACAACCAAGGGGGCTGGACTGTTCTCATCGTTTCTGTAAGCGATATGAAAGCAGGCAATGGTGCAGCGGCTAATGCATAGCCAAACCATTCTAACCACTCGCAGAAGTAGTTTGGATATGAGATATATCGGTAGAGGTAGCCATGGGGGATGGCATAGTGTTCCTTTCCGAGTTTGTTCTCGTTGCGTTTGCCTTTCGCTTTAGATTTACGGCGGATATTGAGAAGTACTTCATCGTGTAAAATGTTTCCCATAAAGCCAAACGCCCAGAGTATTGTTCCAGCCCAGAAGGATGGGCGAGAGAAGGCCCCCGCCAGAAATGCAGATGCAGTGGGAGATGCAAGGTAGGTACCCATCAGAGCACCATTCACAATGTTGAATATAATAGCGAAGAGGGGCATAGCGATGTGCGACTTCGAGCGAGATGGTGTTCGCAGAGGGGAAATTACTGCACGGTTCAGGTAATGGATAATGAACAGGCTAGTGAGGATGACCTGGGGGGCGGACATCGCAGACAATGATGCCGCCCAGGGCCCGCGATATAGTACGGTGATGAAGCTAATGGGAGAGAATAACTCCATAATAATCCAGGACTTGATTCCATCCAAAACGAGGATGCTGTCATTGGATGGAGCGAACCTTCCGAACGGGGCATCGATGAAAAATTGAAGTGGACCAAAGATGGGAGGTATGAGGAAGAACCATCTTCTTGCCGCTGAATTCGAGTTAGTATGTTCAATATACTGGTGTCGGGACCACTTACTATCATATAAGAATTCGGACTGCATGTCGTCGCGAGGCAAGAGTCAATGGAAGGAACCAAAGCGTTATGATACAATGCTGAGTCAGCATTCTCCCTTGTCTTCCCACCTAACACAATACTATTGATAAGTTCATTGGCTATTGTCCTTCCAAGGCGATGTCAACTAATGGCTAAGCTGCATCTTAAACGCACTCCCGCTGAGGAGGTCGAACGGGCACTCCGCAAGGCTCGAAAAGCCGCAAAGGCGGCAAGGAAACGGTCACATCTGTCGGAAGAAGCAGGCCAGCATGGAGAATCTAGCTCCAAAAGGAGACGCAGAGGAGAAGCCATTGATTCTGATCTTGACGAAGAGGTTTATGGCCCTCCACCTCCCCCGTCGCTGTCATCCGCGCACAAACCTGATTATGACACCATTCTTTCTGAGTTGGAAGACGCTCGCTTCAGAGAGAAAATGTGGGATGCTTTACGGGATGATGAACGGCTGGATGGTATAGATGCTAGATTTAACGATTATGCCCATGTCCCCGATAGATGGCGGGCGAACGCAGCCAGCGGTGGAAGCTCTGAGGACCAAACGGATATGGATCCGCGGTTCATGGACGATGACACTTACACCGAGTGGATTCGAGCAGGGATGTGGAGGTTTGTTTCTCAGCTGCAAGTAGTTCCCTGCAGTTGTATTGAGTGTCCACATAATAGGCGAAAAAATGCGCGCCAATACGAAGAAGAAGCACGCATGAAGGCGGAAAAGGCAGCTCGTAGCGCTAGGAAGAAGGAAATGAAAGCAGAGACGACCAGACTCGAAAAGGTTGCGGAAGAGCGAAGAAAACAGAAGAAAAGAGAAAGGGAGAGCCAACGAGAGGAGAACGCTCGAGCAGAGTACGACAGAAAGTGGAAGGATCTCTTGGATCCCAATGCTCGGCATGGCTCTTCCCTTTCCTTCGGAGACATACCATGGCCACTATTTGTACCCATGGTGCACTCAGATACCGTTCATTCGAACTCATCCCCAATTACGTTGGAACACTTCACAACAACAGCAATATCTGCATTCCTGATACCGATTTCTACAATCTCTGTGCTCGCTCAGGACGTCGGTGTTTCTCTCCCCACTCATGATCGTGACAAGAAGGAGAAGAAAGAGAAATTACGGGAGACGATGCTACGGTTTCATCCAGATAAGTTTGAAGGACGGGTCATGCGGAAGGTCATCGAAACAGACAAAGATAGAGTAAGGGAGGCTGTGGGTCAGGTGGCTCGAGTTCTCAACACTCTCATGGAGGAATAGATCGATGGTATAGTCCGTCACTCCGGTTGAAGATGATATTTACCAATCACCAATCGTAAGTTGATGATGAACTCGCAAGTTTTGATACACTTTGACTTAACAAGGTCTTTCGACACTTTTCGAGCAAGTATCGCACTTAATTTCTACTCGATGTGAATTCACCAAACACGTAGAACGACGGCGAGGGTCCGTTCGTGAGGGATACTCTTGGCTATCTTGACTCAAGTGCTGAACTACGTCCTAGGTACACATGTTGCTTTACACTCATGGGCATCCTCTTAGTGCAATACGATACGTTACCCTTATCAAACACACCTGTGCTCCTGCCTGAAACTAGAAAATATCAGTCATCTACTTCAGCCGATTCTCAAAAGACCGAATGTAGACAAAAGTTCTAGGTGTTGTGCCTATATTACTGCGCATTGACATCATGCTGACCCGGAGAAGTGTCTGTGATCTGGCTGCTGGAAACGGTCATCAAAGTCTTTCCGTTCCATGGTTTTTGGGCTGGTGCTACTCAGCACGGATCTAACCTATCTTGGGTTGTTGCAGTCAGCATTGGTTGGCAACAGTCAGTTCCTGACCCTCTCTGGTATATATACTATACTGCCTTGACGCCACTTACTGGACTTGGTGAGTGATACAAATGGTTCAGTAGAGGTGGAACATTGATTATGGTAGTCTTCAAGTTGTCACTAACCCACGGTTTCTTCTACTGGAGAATTTGGGCTGTGAGGAAATCAATGATCGTTCCTGTGTTGGTTATTATGGTGAAGTTCATTCACAGCTTTTGTTGGTGCAGTTTGCAATGGTGACTTACGGGTGTGCAGTGGGAAAGTTTCGTCTATCTCATGTGCTCGTCCTGAAACGACTCCAGTATGGCTTGGTTCCTGACACAAATGTTGACCACCACATGACATTTGAAGCTTGAAGTCCCAGTGAGTTGTATTGCATGTGGCGTAGGCTTACCGCTTCAACGCAAACCAACTAGGTCTGGCTAGTCGGCAACCTTGTGTGCGACTCAGTCATGACCGTGTACATGACGCTCAGTGTATATAAGATACATTGACTTCTACCATTTGATCATGCTCATCCTAATCACAGCTCGTGCAATGCAATGAAAAAAGCGCACAAATTCATTGTTTGCGAAGCTTATCCAATTGACCATCGAGATTGGGCTGGTACCTACGACCGGCGGCGCTGCGCTCATAGAGCTGGTGCTTGCCGTTGCACTTCGAGTAACGATATACCACATTGCATTGTAAGTTGCGAGCTTGTTTTGAGTCACCTCTGGTTTACCAATAGCTTAGATTTTATATCATTTCAAAGTCGGAAGTGACTTGGTCTTATCTTCGGTCTACCGATGAATTCAGTACTAACACGATTGGCTATATTGAACAGGAGGGGGTTGATCGTCACAAGACTGACTGCTACGAGGACTGGCATTCGAGTGCTCGTTCGACGCCCTCGAGACATTCTGCCAATGCGCATTCCAAGGTTGAGACCGCGATAGAGATGGATCTGTATCGACCGATAAGTTATTTCATCACCACGGAATGACTGACTCGTTATCTTGATACAAGGATGAAAAGAATTCGTATAAGCTATCTGTACTGATATATTCATGCAAACATAGACTACTAACTAAAGAGTTATAGCGTAAACAAGTGTGAAGAATGACAACCTCCCCGTAGCGTCGTGAGACCCTGTCCATTGTGTCCGACCATTAGCCGCCTGCGGCGAAGCTTCGGAAAGTCAGATGCAATGCATGTCGCCGCGATTAATACGATAGCAGTAATTCAGCTAGAGTAACCATGAATCAGATGCTCCCGAAAAAATAACGAAAAAAAGGCAGTACCACTGAAGGGACATACAACATGAACAATCGCTGCTGCCAATCTGGAATGGAGTGGAAATGCTGCAAAAGCACTGGCCCTAGTAGAAATTCTTCCCAGTCTGGGCGACAGTGATGAAGACCTCTATCAAACAACATGGTTGTGCGATTCGGATCGGAAGTTATCAATTCGAGTCGCACAACCTTGCTTTTCATCGAAACAGGTACCATGATATGGCTGCTAAATCGAACTGCAAAGATTGTATTATATATCAGTCTGCCCGTAATGATGCATTCATGAGGATCTAGAGGGAAGTGTTCGCTGACTTGCTTGATGGCCATCACAGACCGAATCGCAAGGTACTAGCATCGCAATTATGATATCGCAATCAACCCCGACAAAAAATCACTAGCTCACCGATGTCCGGACTTTCAACTTGGTTTGGACCCCAAACCAGACGTAACCAGGGAAACATGGTCCAAATCGCAAACCGAGACTTTTCCGAGTGGAGCATGGGCGGTAGTAGGTCGTCGTGGTTCAGCTTACACCAGTCGGTCCGTGGAGACAGTTTGATGCAGTGGGGATATAACAAAAACGAACCAGTGCTCAAACTGCTTTGATAGAGGGTCCATAAGCCCTCAGGCCTCGTGCCGCATCTATTCTTCCAGTACCTCAGTACTATGATAGAACGTGTAAAATTGTAAATATAAAAGTTGCATGCACTGGTCACAGCAATGTGACAGACGGCCTTAAAGGGTTGAATGGTCAGTTAATGCCGTCGGGTCCAGGTTGGAGCGAGCACAAGGAACAATTTTACAAGTCAGCGTCTGCCTCGTTACACGATACCACCACGACCTTGCGGCGTCTCTGCAAGTACAGTAGAAACAAATAGTGGAGCACCCAATCCTTGTGTTTTGTCTCAAAAAAGGTTCATCCGGAACAATAGCATCCACACCGGCACCTATCTAGCGTCACCACCTTCTTCTCCACTCCTGAACTGACCGACCCTTAACATTCTTTCTCGATAGCTGAGTCGTTCAACTCTTTCCACTCTCTACCATGGCCGACATTGGCGAAATTATCAATGAAAATGCCTCCTCCAGGACGATCACGCCAGCTGCAGTTGGCTCTCAGGTAGCTTTGATGACAATCATTTCCGTAAGTTATATGTGTTTTCTTGCAGAATCCTGCTCACTCCTTCCAGACCCTTACAATCGTGATATTCAACGTATTGCGACCTAAGAACAAGGTACGTCTCTTCACCATATCACATAGCTATATCCTACATACATGCTATACAGGTCATTTATGAACCCAAAGTCAAGTATCACGTTGGTGACAAGCAGCCACCACGAATATCTGACTCCCTTTTGGGATGGCTGCCTCCTCTCATACGCACGAAGGAACCCGAGCTTGTTGACAAGCTTGGATTGGATGCCGTCACCTTTCTCAGATTCACTCGCATGACCCGATCACTTTACTCGGCCATCGCTTTTATATGTTGCGCCATTCTTATCCCAATCAATGTATCCTACAATCTCAAGAACGTCCCTTCGACGGAACGGGATGTCCTTTCCATTTTGACCATCCGGGATGTGAAGGGTTCTTTCCTCTTTGCACATGTCGTGGTCTCGTACGTGATCTCAGCGCTCGTCATGGTTTTCGTATGGCGGCACTGGAAAGAGATGCTTCGTCTTCGGCAGCAATGGTTCCGCTCTCCCGAATATATGCAATCCTTTTATGCGCGGACACTTGCGGTCATGCATGTACCCAAGAAATACCAATCTGACGAGGGCATCCATGCCATCTTCGCAAGTGTTCAAGTCCCATACCCTACTACCTCGGTGCACATTGGTCGTAAAGTCGGACGGCTACCCGAGCTTATTGAATACCATAACACTGCCGTCCGCGAACTCGAGCAGGTTCTCGTGACATACCTCAAGGGCGGCAAAATAGCGAAAGAGCGGCCAACAATTCGGATAGGTGGATTCATGGGCATGGGCGGTACCAAAAAGGATGCTATAGACTTCTATACGTATGTACCTATGTTCTATTTGTTGCGATATCGCTAACAATAAGTAGCGCAAAGCTGAGACGCACGGAGCAAGCAATTGAGGATTACCGTCAGCAGATTGATAGCCGAAAAGCAGAGAACTACGGTTTTGCATCTATGGCGGCGATTCCGTATGCTCACATTGTTGCTACCTTACTTCGAAAGAAGCACCCGAAAGGTACCGACATCGCTCTTGCGCCGAACCCCAAAGACATTGTGTGGTATTTAAACACTGACTTATGGATATATACTGAATTTTCCGTAGATATGGGCAAATTTCAACAAGTCAACTTCCGAGCTCATCGGCAATAAATTCCTCGGTTCTTTGTTCCTGGTGCTATTTTGTTTCTTCAACACTATCCCCCTGTTCATCATCTCTATCTTGGCAAACTTGAGCTCGGTATGATTTTCGCGTTTTGTTGGGTATTTGGTCAATTGAAAGATTCCTCTACAGATATCTGCCTACGTGGGTTTCCTCTCGACGTGGGCGATTGCATCTCCAGGATCATTTGCTTTTGTTTCTGGTGTCTCGCCTCCTGCCATTTCAGCTCTTTTCGGTTTTTTCCTCCCCATCGTCATGCGTCGGTTAAGTAAATTTCAAGGTGCCCTTACTCACAGCCGGTAAACTCATTTTGTCGCTGGTTGTTTATCGTTACCTGGTTCTGATGGATTTATGGCAGACTTGACCGTGCTGTCGTTGCACGCTACTTTGCTTTCCTTGTTATCTCCCAGTTGATCATTTTTACACTCATTGGCGTTGGATTCAGTCAGAAATCATTTTTGCCGTCATTCGTTCTAGAATGCTAATGTCCATCTTGTAGTTGCTGCGGAACAGATTGTAACGGAGATCGGTCACCACACCAGTTTCCAGGATATTATCAACAACCTGCATAGTGCGTCACCCCATCATATATACATCATGGGCTCCATTCAGTTTTTATAGCCTTGCCGAGTACGATCAACCAAACGTATATAAATCAGTCGTCGTACTGGTTGACATACTTCCCGTGAGCTTGTGTATATGTGCTCTACATGCGGATATGCTTACGCGTGTCATCGTGATATCAGACTCCGTGGCTTCTTGGTTCTCTTCGATCTGGCACAGATCCTGAATCTTCTCTGGACGTCGTTTAAGACTCGGTTTGTTTCTTATTATTATTATCGTTGTCGCACACGCTGACACAAGATTTTAGCGTCTTTGGTCGCACACCCCGTGATATTAGAGAGTGGACACAGCCGCCAGAGTTCGAGTATGCTATTTACTAGTACGTGCCTCATTTCGACACCTCTCTTTTGATGCCAATATCTTCACCAATAGCGCGAATACCGTGAGTTAAGTTCGGTGATCTGATCTGACCCCCATTCACATTCCGCAGCTCTTCATGGCAACCGTTGCGTTAGTCTTTGCTCCTCTGGCGCCTTTGGTCGCACTTGCCGGTGCTATTGTGTTCTGGATAGGTTCATGGGTGTATAAGTATCAACTTATGTTTGTCTTCATCACGAAGGTTGAGTCGGGAGGAGTGGGTTATTCGTTTTCAACTTGTTTTTCGAGTTGCTAACCCTGGTGCAGCGTCTCTGGAACATGATTGTTAACCGGTTGCTCATCTCTGTGATTCTCATGCAACTGTTGATGGCTCTGAGTAGGTCATTTTAACCATCAAAGGCTGCGACTGCTGACTTACCATATTCCAGCCATCGGCCTCCAATACGGCTTCAAGTCCTTCATGTGGCTCACCACCGTCCCTCCAATCTTGTTCATCATCATCTTCAAGTTTCAGCTTGACCGAACCTTCTACAAGAATTTCCTGTACTACATACCTTCGGAAACTGAGCTTCGCGAAGCAAAGGTACACTCGTCAACGTCAGATGTTTCTGGAAGAGGGTTGGAGAAGCGCTTCGGTCACCCTGCGCTTCACTGCAGATCTGTTTACTCCGATGCTTCATGCAAGGATGATGCCACTCCTTGGGGACGTCTACAAGGGAAAGATTGGCAGTGACAAGGCCAAGCTGGATGAATATGGTGGTCAGAAATTGGACGCTCAAGTCATCGAGGGTGGCCTGAAAATTGCCGCTATCGAACAGGTGAATATTTTTTGTCTGTGTCTCGAAACGAAATGCTGAACATTCTAATTTAGCGCGATTTGGAGTATGATCCTGCCCTTTACCGGCGCGATCGAGGCGAACTGGACTGGGATCAACGGTCCATTGCGTCGGCTGCAATCTTTGGCAATGCTAGAGGCGGTGACAACGCTTCGCTTTACCATCAGAAGGCCCATCAATATGCGGGTTCAATTAGTGGAGGTCGTGCATCACCCGCGCCACCTGCCTTCGACCGTTACCTCGCCCAGGGTCCATCGCAATCTCTAAATGATATAGAGCTAGCGCGCATGAACCAGAGTGTGGATCAGTTGCCTCTTCTGACAGATCATCAATCATACGGATACTTCGATGCCCGGCAGCAACCGCCGCCGTCTCCACTCCATGAGTACAACTCTCCGGATCGGATGACCCCGCCATCTAGATATGGGTCGCCTGCACCAATGGCAACGCTGCCTCAAATGCAGTACCCTCCTCATCCCGGGATCCACACAGAAGGCTACAGGGAAGCACCGCTACATCGCCCTTATCCTCCCCAACGCCCAAACTCGACCTACTCAGTCGACCCATCACAATATATGTCTGGACGAAGTGCCTACCAAGGGTGATTTACCATGAATTATCTCACGCCAGTACCACCATTCGTTCGATGTGCGCTACGACTGGACTTACTCTACTTTTTTTTCAATCTTTCACGCTGTCGTTATGTGTCACCTCACTTTTATCTTGATTACGCATATATCATTTGGACTTAGATTAGGATAACGCAAGTGCAATGGTTGTTTGGGCAGACATTCTTCCTGCATATAAAGATGGAGGTGGGAGGAGCCCGTCGAATAGTGACTAGCATTTTCTTTGCTGTACTTGTTGCATTTATCTTACCGACAGTTTGTGTACACGGACTTTCTAACTGCCTAACTATGGTACTTATAATCGAGCAAACCTGCTCGCTTGTTCATTTGACGTCGCCGTCATCTTGAACCTGCTGCATGTCTAACCTGTATTCATATGTGAGGGTCGACCGCCCTGCTCCCAAATGTTTGGCTACCTCACAGGAGATTCGTGACCGCGGGTCTGCGTTCGTGGGCAGCGTGTATCGCGCTAGTACACCCGAAGAAGCTAAAGCTGCAATCTTCCATCACCGAAACGTCGTTCACGCTGGAAAGAAGGCCTACGAGATATCTGCGTGGAGATGCATGATGCTGAAACATGGCAAGTCAGGGCTCGGAGGTCCTGATGACTTCGAGGTTCAAGCAGGATATGATGACGATGGGGAACAATGGGGTGGGAGCAAAGTGTCGAGGGTCATGCAACGCGAGGGTGTGCTTGACGCTGTTGTCATTGTTAGTCGATGGTAAGCTTCAGCTGTGTCTATTCTATAGAGGACAGTTAGGGGGAAATTTTACGACTGCTTATCGTTCACTCACAGGTTCGGCGGGACCCTTCTAGGACCAGCTCGATTCACTCATATCGAGACTTGCGCCAGTGAAGTATGTCGTACATTCAAACGAGTCGAAGAGATGGACGAATGCATTTCAACGCTTACAAGGCTCGACGATATGTTGGCAAGTCTGCGGCAAGAGTTAAGCGACCTGACTCAGAATACTGAATCGGCAACGGGTGGAAGCACCTCGGCCTCAGACGAGATCCACAATGCAGAAGGAAGGGGAAGCAGACAGCCCGATTACACAGCCGTGCAGAGGGATCTTGACATCACAAAAGCGAAAAGACTCGTCGGTGCCAGAGAAAGTGCAGTCAAAAATGTCAAGTCTCTGTTATCGAAAAAGAGAACAACTTTGGCGAGTGCTGAGGCTGAAGGGTAGCACAATCATGCGCAAGAGAGTTGTCATGGTCAGAAAGAATAATACAAGTAGTAATAATCTAGCAGAACAAATTTCGAACTACAAAGGTATTTGCGTACAGAATATGCATACAAAAAATCAGGGAGGGCATACTAGGGATGGGATTGTTTCTGCTAGTTGAGGGCAAATAACCTCCTAGTGTTTGCGAAACATGTATTGATAAATTGCTGCATGATGGTGCTGGGTGTGGAGTGAAGCTGGGTGTGGGGAGAACATGAAACAGCATAGTGAGGTGCGTCAAAATCGACAGGGACGGTACGAACTTTCGGACCGAGGTCATCAGGCATGTGTTGAATTTTAGACATAAATCGTGCCAAGTGGATCTGGCTTGTGAAAGGAAACATCTTTGATGTTGCCTATAAACATGTGGAGATGGTTAGTTTGAAATATATGAAAGCCACTGAGAGCCATTTTAAAGCGGGAATTAATTGGCAACGATGCAATACCAGTCTGATATAGTCCTATAAATCCAATATTGATTCTCAAAGTCAGGCCGCTCGAAGTTGGGGACGACTGTCAACTTATTGCGGAAATACAGGTAGTAAAGTCACCCTTATTACGAAGGAGTGGCTGTTGCCAAACCACCTGATAGGGGAGACTGGTAAGTCTCCAGTTCCGCGCAATTTTGCAGACCCCATTTGTTGTAGAATGGCTTATATCCCTGGTGGCCGCCACGCGCTCGAGGCGAGGAATTTTTTGTTGTTGGCATAGAAGCTTCAGGGGTGAGCACGCTGCAGACGACCCTGCTGCTCTTGAACAAATTTCAGTTCATTGACAGATTGTCCGAGTAATTGGGATAAACAGAGGTGCCCTCAGTGTTGAGAGTCAACAAGTCAACAGTCACGACTACTCATAAAACGAAGGCACACTAAATAAACATGAGAAAAGACAGCGTGAACGAAAAACAAAAAGCGTATGTACCTTTGTTGTTAAGATCTGAAGGTCAACAACCAAGGCACAGGAGACCCTTATTCAAATTCTCGGTTTCCTTTCCTCGCCATAGCGGCCTATAGCTCCGACACCGTGGGCGGACGCATTCATGGTAAATTTAACCCTGTGAGATAAGCCGTAAACATCAAATTGTTGTAAAGAAAGTGGCAACGATAGAATCAGCGGTGCAATGTTTGGATATATGCTCTGCCGTTCGTCAAGGTTCATAGCTACGACTGGGGCGGCAAGCGAAATCGTCATGAAAAAGTTTTGATATGATACCCACCTGTACAACATATTCATTGGTTCTACACTTGTCCGAGGCCTGAGAGAACTTCGGAGAAAGATCCAACAGAAGTCCAATATCGATCCATCACCTACATAAAGATCAGTCGGCGTCCCGTTTTACCAATAGAAAGTGAAATTACCTTGACTACATCACAAACCGAAACATAATCTGCGGCATCCCCCGCTCACGAAGTCTAGCTACTGTCTGGTCGACGAACTGCGTTACAGCGCACTGCTCCATCGACCCAAGACGACCTCCATTCCGATTCAGCGGCACATCAGGGTAGAGCCGTCTTAGTCGAGCGTAATTTGCCAACGCCCAGGCCGCGTGCCATGCGCCGTGTAAAAACTATACAAATAATGGAGGACGGCGAAAAGGTGTATTTAGATGATACATTGGTCTTCCCATCCTCTCAAAGAGATGAGAGCCTGTACTAAGCTGTGGGTGTCGGTTCTATGATGCATTGAAGAAAATAGACGCAGCCTTATATAATCACCTTTCTTTATTTTACTTACAGTGAGTGGCTGTGCAATCCGACTTGGAATGTTTGTTCTGAGAACCGGGCGACAGACTAGCCATCATGCATTTCAGCAGAGAGCGTATGCGACCATGGATACTGTCAAAGAAGGCAAGCGCGTAGCTTCAACAGTAACTCCCCCGTGGTCAAGGCGATTCGAACTTCAAGACCATGATGAGGATGATAATGTCGGCCCCGCCCGGCGTACGGTTTGTATCCGCACGTCCAGGTTGCTCGCAGGTGGGATGGTTGACGCGTTCGCTGTCATTCGTGGGATGGAGCGTAAATTTGGGCGGATACGTGAATACCGGTTCATACGGGTTTGTGCAGTAGAGTGGTTTTCACATTTCAGTTTGCTCAAACGCCATTAGGATGGAGAAGTGAACTCCGAGTACCAGATGATATGTTGGGCTGCATTTCAGTCTGAGGACTCAATGAGCCTCATTCCAGAGGAGGGTATCACCATGAATGTCATGGCTGCAACGCAAGATCCTACTATCCCTGAAGGGGGCCCGGGGCTTGAACACCTTCAAGGTCTATTTGACGTGAAGGATACAGACTCTTCCAGTCCCTCAACATACTCTCCTGAAGGCCCTTCAACACATCCGAGATTAATTGAACTCAATGTTCAGCGAGCTGGTGTGTATATTCTTACTCTTTCTCATCTTACAACAATGCCGTGTGCTCACAACGTGGACAGCAAGTGACTTGCGTTTCAATGGAGACAGCAGACCATTAAACCTCACGAAGGGTAGAAGGATTGAAATCGGACAACGCTTCTACGAGTGGGGAGGTTTCTATCCTCTAAAGCCTCTTTATACCTCATCCCCGTTCGCTTCTTCATCCGAAGAACTGCCGCCTACTCCAGACCACGAGAAAATGCGCATTGCGCTGAACAAGTGGAGTCAAATCCTTGAGCGACCCGACCCTTCGTTTGCACAGATGGAGGCCACAGCGACGGCGGAAGCAGATACTCAAAAAGACATGACAGCGGATTCGGAACCGCCTAGTGATTCATCGACATCAACAATGTTGTCTCAGAGGAGTCGAAGGAGGACCAGACGCGAGGTGGATTCCTGGGTACCACTATCGACGCCACAACTAACAAAATCGGCCCCGCCACCCCCCGAGGCTATCACCCTCCGCACAATGCCCAAGACTTTGCAGCCTTCGACGCCCAAAGTTTCGCGTAAAGAGCGTTTGCTCGAACAGGCTCGTAGCCAAGCTCGCGAACGGGTCCTGCAACAGGTTGCGCTGCGTGCCAGAGAAGCCGAATCTGCTGACCTCGAAAATCCAAATTCAGAGACACTAAGGGAGAGTGTTGAGGCCTTTTTGAAGGACTCTAAAGTCGATGCAGATTCGCCAGGCAATGTGACGGATGGCTCTGAGTATGAGGTCAAGCCAAAGGCAGGAGACAAACCGTTGAGCGAGAGCCAGGTCTCTCCTGCGAAGGAAAAGTTGTGGAACTTGGTTGGGAAGTGGTTTTGATCGATACTGTCAGTACTCGTATAGAGCTTTTCTGCATAAATTGTTCTTACTTGCCGCACGTGAGTATCAAAGGTTAGCAGATGCTTATATAAGCGGATAACTCCCTTGTCGACACTCGGTCTTCGTCGTTTGTAATGGCACCAATACTCCACCTATACAAGCTTGGCTAGCTGCCAAGTGATCTGTACTAGTACTAGTGCGATGGGCGGCAGATGTGATCCATTTTGAATTATTTGTGCGATTTGCAAAATAATTTGTTTTGGCGGACAGCTCGGAGCTCCCTTGACCGGCGGCACCCGGCACGTGTAGTTCCGACGTTCCGGTTTTGCACTTCCCCACAAAACTCATCCCGCACGTCTTTTTTAAGCGCTTTCTGATCAAAGCTCTAAACTTTCGAGTCTAATCGACGGACCGTCTTCCGCATCTCTACCATCGAACATAAGTGTAGACAGAATACCGAGAATGGCTACCTTGTTATCTGCGCGTAGTTCCATTCGGCGACTGGGATATCCTCTTTATAGGATGCCGTTTGCAAACAACGGGAGGCGCGCAGGTTAGTTCAAGATTATCTTTTGAACTATGGTTGGGAACTCATATCGGTCCGGTAGCGTCAGGATATGTGAAATATAACTATGAAGTAAGTTCAATTCGCACTCAGTAATAACCAGATCAAGACTACCGTGACTACTTGTTAGGATCCGTTGAATATGGAATCTCTACTAACGGAAGAAGAAATTGCCATACGGTACGTATTAGTTGTGACATCTTCGGCGGACGTCAAGCTCATACTGACACAGTGATACTGCTCGGGAGTATTGCCAGGCAAGTCCGCCTTGTCTACATTCAGAAGCCGTGTGATGATCCGTTTGGTAGGAAAATCTTGCTCCCCGTGTGCTGGAAGGCTGGCGGACGGAAAGTAAGGCATGAGATTTATTCTCTGTCATTTGTCTCAAATATGGCGTGCAGAATTCGATCATGACATCCTCCCTGAAATGGGCAAACTGGGGCTACTTGGACCGACGATCCAAGGCTATGGCTGCGCTGGAGCGAGCAATGTGGCCTATGGCCTCATTGCTAGAGAAATTGAGTGGTCTGTACCGCGTCTTTGGTCTTCATCGTTATCTTACCCTTGGACATGCTAGCGTCGATTCTGGCTACCGGTCGACGGCATCTGTCCAATCATCGCTTGTTATGCACCCCATCAACGAGTTTGGTACTGAAGCACAGAAAGAGAGGTATATTCCTCGGTTAGGTGGGATTTCTAATTGTGATCGAGAACTCGCCGCTTATATCATACAGCCAAGGGAGAAATCGTTGGCTGTTTTGTATGAGATCACAGTAACTAAGATTTTGAGTTCGCTCTAATGATTCAAACAGGGGCTGACTGAACCGAATCATGGTTCCGACCCAGCTGGCATGGAGACAACTGCTGAAGAGACTGATGGCGGCTTTGTCCTCAATGGAAGCAAGACTTGGATATCAAATGCACCTGTCGCGTAGGTCCCCTTGTTCGATTTCTATGATACCATTGATTTGCTGGCGAAACAGTGACATTTTTGTCATCTGGGCTCGCTGCAAATGGGATGGCAAGGTCCGGGGCTTCCTTCTGGAGAAGGCAAGCATTTTATTTCTCGTTCTACTCATCTATCTTACTCCCACACAATTGGTAGGGTCTGAAAGGTTTGGAAGCGCCGGCCATAAAGAATAAGGTTGCACTTCGGGCGTCGTTAACTGGTTCGATCTTCATGGACTCTGTTAGAGTAGGCCATGATGCCTTGCTCCCGCACGGACAGGGCCTTAGTGCACCTTTCTCCTGTCTGAATAGTGCCCGGTACGGCATTTCATGGGGTGTAATGGGGGCTCTCGAGGATTGCATCCAAAAAACTCTCGCGTATGCACTTGAGCGAAAACAGTTTAAGCGACCGTTGGCATCTTTCCAGCTCGTCCAAAAGAAACTCGTAGACGCACAAACTGAAGTAGCTCTTGGCTTGCAGGCTAGTCTTCAGGTTGGTAGACTGAAGGACGCAAGCAAGCTGGCGCCCGAAATGATCAGCATGGTGAAGCGTAATAACTGTGGAAAGGCCCTTCAGCACTCCCGAGTCGTTTTGGATATTCTCGGAGGAAATGCAGCTTCAGATGAGTATGTCTATGGTTTACGTGACTGTGATGCATGCCTTAAGTTGATGTTTGAAGGTATCATGTCGGTAGACATGTTGCAAATTTACAAGTTGTGAATACTTATGAAGGTATGTGCCTTGCTCGCCGCCATCTGGCGTAATCGCTGACGTGTTCGCCTTCCAGGGACATATGTTAGTTTTTTTCCCTTTCACACCATATTTTCCACGATCTCTCGAGCTGACAACCCAATCCTCCTTTTCATGCAGGATATACACGGTCTCATCCTTGGAAAGGCAATCACTGGCATCCAAGCTTTTGCTAATTAGTTCCATCGATGTATTATTTGTGATACATGCACGTTCCTATTTTCTTATCTGTCGGAACATCATCACTGAGTCGTTTTTTTACAGAAATCTTAACGAAAGACTTTGCATGATGTCGACGATGGATCGTCAGATGCGTGGATCTAACGTTAATAATTCACCAATCGTAAACTATGTAGCACGCAAGCAAAATCTGGCTGTGTACTGATAATTTAACGCATTGACCTCTATTTTTTTGACATTTGCAGCTGTTAGTGCGGTTAATTTCACCTGTTGCCGCATCGGCGGGATCAACAGGCGGGAAGTCATCTATCTCACGTTGCTTCCGAAGGTTCCGTTCATCCGCACAGTTTAGGTCCCACATTCCGGCAAAGACGTGGAACGATGATCATACCGCACTTGGTCATGCCTTCCAAACAAACGAGGACGACCCCGGGGCCCGACTGGGTGGGACGACAACTGACGACAGACCAGTGATACGGTCATGTCATTGACACCACATTGGTACCGCCTGTTCTTACTTGTAAACAACCTGGGTCCTAGCTCATCCATTCCGAATCATGGTTGCATTCCCTCGCCGCATCAACAGGAACAACATTTAGGGAGCGCCAGCCTGAGAGTGCATTGTAATCTTTTGCAGTGAGCGCAACTTTATGTAATTGCAC